CCAAGGTTTCTATCAGTATTAGTCTGTCTTCATGAATTTTCTACCTTCACACAGTTGTGATTTCTCCCTTTCAGGTAATCAGGAAAGGCAGTGCATTTTTTTCCCCTCTTTGAAGTACCAAGAGCCTCCACTTGCCTCCCCAATCGCTGTCCCCCTACACTTCCATTCCCAAAGAGTTGCAGTTCTGTCAGCTGCTCATCCCAGGGGCCTGACTCCATCCACAGCTGCTGTTAGAATGGTCAGTCCCAGCAGCCATGCTGACTGGGGATGTCAGTCCCCAGGGTCCAGCCCAAGGCAATATAACTTTGCAGGATTAAGCAAGTAAGCACAGTGTTAACATTAACATGGATTTCTAGTGACATCTGTTTTGTCTGTAATGCCCCATCCTATCAGACTTCTAAGCCATAATAGATCTACTTTGAATTTAGGACAAGCTTTTTGTATTTGGAAGTGGAAGATCTGACCACATTTTGGGGAAAAATTCTAAAATCTCCTGAAGAAAGAAAATAAAGCTTTCAGATCATTAAAATAGAAGAGGGAATCAAAATAGATATTAACTTGTAGAGAGAAAAGCGTCTCTGACTTTAATCCCTAAGTGATTTCAAAAATCAAAAGGTGCTCAAAGCTTTAGGATAAATTCTTAAGACAGGAAGATAATTGTCTGCATTGTTTCTATGTATGTACTAAAAGACATATACACACATATACACATACATATATGCCCAGAGAAAACTCTACTCAAGCTGATGTGAATAAGTGAGGATTCCCAAATGGCAAGGTCTGCATAGTATATCTAATTAAGGAGTTAATACTGACTGACACATCTCTTAAAGACTGCAAGAAATCTGCATTTTCTACCCACAGGTTTCTCTTACAGAGCACTGACCTCAGCACACAACCAGAAAACCCAACACAGGACCATTATGCACTTACCTTTTCCACTGAGGGGAAAAAAAAGGTCATGCTTTAAGCATGATCCCATTTCATTATACACTGTTTTCACTGTAGCACAGATACTTTTTTTTTTTTTTAAACAAACCTGGGAAAAGCAGGTGATATATGCTAATAAAATCCACAAAGAATTATTAGCATGATTACCTCCATAGATTAAAAATTAAATGAGAAAAAATTACAGCCAACATTTTAAACACAGAACACTAGTATGAGTCTTCATACTATTAAGGTAGCATGAAGTCTTTTACAATACAAAATTAGCTCACATTCCTATTGGCCATTAAGTATCAAATATTGATAAGTTTGCCTATCTTGCACCAGGATTCTTCTACCTTTAACACGGTAGTTTTTACAGCCCAGTCTTCACCTTTAAAAAAACAACTGAGTTAGCTCACTGTGTTTTACAGTACTTCCCAGTCTGTATATTATTTGTTAAAGTTTGGCAAAATTTGTGAGTATTAACACTGTAATAACACAGAAGCCATAATATCATGTTTCATAGTTTTATTGAGTCTTTTTCAGTTTTAATTGTCCATGGTAAGTACAGTTCTAGTGACCACAATTATGAAGCTCTACTGGTACTAAAAATAGCAGATACAAAGTTGGCTGCCATGCCTTACACACACTAAGATACACACACACACATACACACACACACATGCAGACACACAAGATTTTGCATACTCCTACATGCAAACAATACTATGCTATTACAGGAAATGTACTTTCCTTTTATTGAAAATACAATTACCCACAATTAGTCTGGATTTTAAGCTACCACTGATTTAGATAAACCTGAGAAAGCTCAAAATATCAAGTAACACTGTTTCCATATCGCTTATTCATCGGCGCCAATCACTCAAAGAGAAATCTAGTTCAATCATCTACATTAAACCACAGGTAATATAAAAATAAACATTTTTTTTGCAAAAGCACTAAAACATTCTATAATTCAAATTCACAAATTTTGATATGTAACATATATTCACCTTCATATTAATTTGTGACAATGTGTTTAATACAATGTATAACAGAATAAAAAACTGTAACAAAATTTAGCAGCCAAATAGTATACAATTATCGCTGTAAAACTTGGAATTTAAGTAAAATCAATAGCAGTGTTGAACTTGCTGGTAGTGTGTTACTTAAAAATTCCATCTCAAAAGAGTGAAGGTTATGTTGTCTCACCTTAAGAAGCAACACAAAAATTAAGTAGAACTAAGCAGCAGTAACTGATTGTACCAGCTGCTTTTTTCTCTCCCCATCTCCTTAAAGATTTTCCTTACATTCTAATGTTGTATATATAATGCCCATCCCACTCAACTGCTAAAACATGATAGATAACTTTAAATGTAAAATAAGACTTTTGTATTTGTAAAGGGAAGCTCTGATCATATTTAGGGACAATACTCTAAACTTCCTGAAAAGACAAGAAAAACTTTTACTTAATATATAAAATGTAGACAATACAGACCCCATTTGGCTAAGATATTTTATATGCACTATTGATCTTACAATAGTTTGACACCAAATTATGTCTATATAGAAAAATCTTAAATAAAAAGGCAAACATGCAAAAGCATTTTTAGGGAAAATTAATCACTTGATCATGAAACATTTTCACATTTTAGAGCAAAAAGTGTGAAGACTTAAATATTCCAAGATACTGATATCTGAAAAACACTGTAATATACAACTCTCATTTAGGTATGCATCATATATTTTGTAAAATACACCAGTTTGACACATTAATATTATACATTGTAATAAATATAATTTACATTAGTATGTTGGATCTTTCATGAAAGTTTTTCAGTTTGTACAACTGAAGGACTGTGAGTTTCTTCAATAAATACTATTACCATAGCTACAATTTGACCAGCAAAGTTTAAGCTTCAATAGATACAAACTAGCATTACAGCTTTAAATATTATCATTAGCCAAATTCCAGCTGCTATAAGCACTGACACTTATAGTATCCAATGACAGTTTAGTGTCTTGTCTAAGTAGATTGAGACAATTCAGGTGACAGGTCCACCTCATAATCTGTGAAATTTACAAGAATTTTTTAGCCAAGGAGTGGAATGAAGTCCTGGAAAATACAGTAGCAGATTTCACACACTCCTGGCTGTCTAGTTTTCATGCTTTACCATATCCCCTAAGGCCTCAACAAATGGATGTCATCTAACCTTTTTAATCCATGAGTGGTCTTGAAAGGGTCAACAGTCACACAGCTGGCTGAGTGGCAACATCATGGTTTTAATTCTGAATCCTGCCTTGCATGCTATATTTCTTCTTAGTTTGTCTTTTTGTCATTTCAAGGTAAACACAAATTGATGTTCAAAGAGTCAAAGAAGCCAATCTGTAAGCAATAAGACACCTTGAATTTGCCATTAAAATATTTTTGTGGTGTGAAATTTTGTTAGGTGATAAGTTCTATAATTTTAGCTGTTTTTTTTTTATCCAAAAGCCAACACATTTCTGCCTTTACTATTGAAATACTTCAATCATCATACAACCTGAATCAGTTTTTCAGCCAATAGAGATCACTGCTTCATCCTGACCCTCTGTATGTTTTCACCATTTTCACACATCTTCCCAGAGGCTTCTTTTGGCCTGGAAGGAGTTGGCAAGATCATTCTTGTTACTATGTGGCATGCATTCACATGTCACCAATGTCCATATGTGATGTATGAAGCTAAAGAAGAAACACTTCGAAAAAAAACACGCCAAGTAGTAAACAAGCATTTCTAGTCACTATTCACCTCCTCACTGGATCCACACTCACAAAGGTCTCTGGACTCTGAAACAATGTACTTAACACATACTCTAAATTAAGCCAGCATCCTGAGACCTAAAAGAAATAAAGCTAAAGTAAATGGTGAAGAAATATTATAGAAATGTGTACCATTAGGCTACAAGTTCAAGTCTGCTACAGGTCCTGTAGTTTCCATCTTGGTCAGTTTAATGATACTGATCTTGTTTAACAAGGTCAGTACATACAGTAATGACATATTTTAGATTTTATCTTATAGGATTCTGAAACAGATGTTATATGAGCCTGATGAACTGAGAACTTTGCTAACTCCTCAAAATGAGGAGGTGCAGTAGGTTTCTTCTTGATTTAGTTTCTATAATCCTATGCATTAAAACTGAGTATGTAAAAATAATCACTGTTTAGGAAGGCTAAATATAGCTTTCCTTCATTGATCTTAGTGGCCAGAGATTGGGTAAAGTGAAGCTACTATGAAGGTCTCACAAATCCTCAACCTACATATGCATTTGAAATCAAGACCTGAATTTCCTGTCATTATGTTTCACAGGGCACTAAGGTTCTTTCTTGCCTTAAAGCAGGCATCCCCAAACTACGGCCCCAGGCCGCATGTGGCCCCCTGAGGCCATTTATCCGGCCCCCCGCCACACTTCAGGAAGGGGCACCTCTTTCATTGGTGGTCAGTGAGAGGAGCACAGTATGTGGCGGCCCTCCAACGGTCTGCAGGACAGTGAACTGGCCCCCTGTGTAAAAAGTTTGGGGACGCCTGCCTTAAAGTACAGCCCTATGTTGCTCTACTTGTAAAGTGCTTTCAAACAAGTTATTCCACCATCAGTTGCAAACTCTGATGTTGACTTTATGGAGGCTGGCTTTCAAAACTAAAAATCCCTTTGACACTGGGATTGTCATTTGCATTATCTCACCTTATTATTCTCATTATATAGAATCTGACCATTTCAAGGGCTAGACATGCAGCAATTCAATATTCATTAAAAGATATTAACCCTGTTGAAGCATTTTACCAATTTTTCTTTAACACCTGGCAGAGAACAAATGTAATAAAAAACACTGACCAATAGTCTTCTATTTGTAGTTTGATTAGTATTTTACTTTTCAGTGCTATGGTATCTAGGTACTTAAATATAATTCTGAATGTTTTCCTCTCCATATATATGTTTTTTCTTTAAATATTAATATGTAAGGTTTATCAAAAGATTATAGCTTCCCATTCTGTCAATGCAACCTATACAAATTCTGCCTATTTCTTATTTTCATATGGAATTTTGTGTTTTCAAACACTTAAGAGGAAGCAAAAAGAGCCTTCTCCACCATGGTTTTAATTTAAACTGAAGTCCTCATTTTAAAATGTCTTCTGCCCATCCCAGTTGCTTCATACATTTGAGAGTATTCTTGGAGGCTATGCATTGTGGATGACTGTCAACCACTCCTTTTCTGAAATACTGTCCTCCTGCCCAATATCCTTCAACTTACTAACAGTTATTTGACTTTACTCAAACTTTTGTCTGTAATTTATTTGCAATTCTTAAAATTTGTTTTTACAGATGTGAGTGAACACTTATCCTGGAACACAAACAAAGTCCTCAGGCATAGCACAGCAGTGCTGCAAGTAAATGCTCTTTATCACAAGCTGCCTAAGAGAGTTCATGGTGTTTACAAGGAAAATACATGCACTTTAATTATTTTGAATGCATTTTACCAGTATACAATAATATATGCAGGCTTTCTCCATCAAACATTTAGCACCCAATATATAATGAGACCTTTTTCAGAAATAGCTGGAAAACAATCATTTTTCAGGTTTTTAAATTAACTTTACTTTTCTATTCAATTTCCTAAAAAAACTCAGTCAACTATCATCTATGCTTATAAGATACTGAAAAAGACACCCTGCTCAGAGATCCATTGATCTGATACTGGATGAACTGAGTTTAGTGTTTTGTTATACTATGCTAAATATTTTTGAGAATGTAGATTTTCATTTTATTCCTACTGAATTTTTAAAAACAATAAAGACTAGATAAACCACAAACTCAAAGTTGCAGGGGGCTAGTTTTCTTAGGGAAATTATTAACATCAAAATAGCCCTCATACTCATGTGCACACACACATTAAAAAGAAAAGCTTGTAAATTTTAAATGCAAAAGAGAAAGTAAATTTTTAACTAGGTAGTGTTGTTTTATTATGCATACTTCTAGTCAGAAAGAAGGGAGACTTTGAAAGCAAACCCTAACAATCTAAGTGTGGATGTGGGCACTTCTATATATTTTTAAACTCACTATTTTCTTGGTGGTTTTTTTTTTTTTTTTCCCCTGCACTTACTAGAAAGTTTAAAGGTGGGAGAAGCACTTGGTTCTTTAAGCATCCTACCATATTACAACAGTGAGGTGTCTGGAGATTCTTGTGCCTTCACAAGCTTGTATCTCCATTCTGCTTGAACTCTGATAAAATATTGAGGGTCATGTCTTCACTCTTGGATTGCAAATTTGCCTCACTTCTTCTAGAAGCTTTCCTTGTGGCTCGGGAGAGTCTCCTTCTGAAAGTATCTCCCGCCAAGAAATAGAGAATGGGGTCCACACAACTGTTGAGACTTGCTAGACCTCTTGTCACCTGATACGTGGCATAAACCCTGTCATTGAAAGCACACATTGCTGGGGTCTGAAAATCAAGCCGGGCCCTCAAGTTCATCGTTTTCATCACATGGAAAGGGATGTAAGACACAGCAAAAACAGTCAGTACAATGATCACCAGGTAAATCGATTTCCTCCTCAGAGGAGAGTTGTCCAGATCTTTGTAAATCAAAGCTCTCACAATTAATCCGTAACAGCCCAGAATCAGCACCAAGGGGACACAGAACATGGCCACGGTCGTGCACATGCTGTAGATGAAATAACTTCGCAGGTACTCGTCTGAGGTGGTGTCATAACAGGTGATGGTTTTGTTTTTGCGGACCCCGGTACCCGAGTAGAAGAGGATGGGAGAGATCGCCACCACCACGATGAGCCACACCAGCACGCTGATATAGACCGCGTTCTTCTTTTTGAGCCGGCCCAGGGACTTGAGGGGGTACACCACACCGCTGTACCGGTGGGCACTGATGCATGTCAGAAACAAGATGCTGCCATAGAGGTTCACATGGAAGATGAACCTCTGCAGTTTACACATGACGTCCCCGAAGATCCAGTCTGTTTTATTGAAGTAGTAGAAGATCAGGGCTGGCAGAGTCAGCACGTACAAGAAGTCGGCCAGAGCCAAGTTGAACATGTACACGGAGATGCCGCTCCAGGGCTTCATGTGGAAGACGAACATCCAGATGGCCACGCTGTTGCCCAGGAAGCCGATGATGAACACCAAGATGTAGACGGTCGGCAGGTAGTAAAACTGGAAGCCTGTCTTGGTCAGGGCACATTTGAAAGGCGCCGAGACGGCGGCGGTGGAGGGGACCGTGCTGTTCCCCCAGGACGAACCCGGACCGGCCAGGAAGGCAGTGTCCGTCCCATTGGGGACAGCCGGCCACAGCACCTCGGTCATTCTGTCCTCCTCGACTTAGGCGGCGGCTCCGAGGGGCAAGCGGCGGCGAGAGGGCAGCGGCGGCCAGGGACGCAGCAAGCATCGGAAAACCCAGCGAGCGGAAGTGAGCGGGCTCGCGGGATCCCCGCGGGAGGCGGCGCGCGGGGGCTTGCCCACGCCGGCTCCAGCCCCGCGTTCGCCGCGGGCCATGAAATCCGCCCCGGGCCGCCACCGAACTGGCTGTCGGGCAGGCCAGCAACTTCCCCGTCCGCTGGCAACGCCAAGGTTACACAACAGGGCGCGCAGGGCACCGCCGCGGATAACTTTCCTACTGCGCTTTCCCGAGGGGCCGCGGGTCCGCGCTGCAGAGCGCGCCAGAGGCGCGGCGAGGTCAGGCAAAACTCGCTCTGCAAGGCTCTAGCCTGGAGAGAGTGCTCCCCAGCCTCCTCGGCTCGAAGATCAACTTCATTAGGGCATCTTTCTCCTCCCTACCTTAGAAGGGTGCAGCTCAGCTTCGGTGTGTCTAACCGCTTCCTCTGCCCACCCTGAGCTCAGCCCCTGGCAGCCATCGCAGCGCGCGTGGCAGCAGACTCGTGCGCTTCTGGAGCGCGTCCCATTCGGCGTCCGCGCAGTTCAGGGAGCCTTTCCCCAGGCCCTGCTCGGTCCGGAGTGCGGGGGGGTTAGGCGGGAGAGCTAAGCTCTCATGAGGATGGGCGGAGTTTGGGCACCGGGTTGAGTCCGCGCTCCGCGGGGAGGCGAGGGGCGTGTCTCCGCCGAGTTCCTCCAGCAGCCAGCCCGCGTCCCCCAGGGCGCACCGGAGGCGAAGTCGTCTTCTGGGGAGCAGGTCTCCGCCGAGGCCGAGTGAGTTCAGCCTCTGCCAGCACGCTGCTGCTACCGGAATCAGTGGCGAGGGTGAGGGGTGCCCTCAGTCAAAGGTGGCTGCTCGCAGGCGATTGGCCTGCGAGCGCTCCTTCTCTCTTCCGCCAGCTCTCTCGGCAAAGTGAAGTTGCTGACACAGGAAACCCTTCCGACCGCTCAAAGCCTTCTGCCTACAACCCCAGAGCCGACCAGTCCGTGGCAGAAGTCTCTAGGGCCCCCGAGAACCACGCCAGGTGTTTTCAAGCTCCAAGCAGGCAGCAGTCCCCAGCTGGGAACGCCCTGGCATTGCAGAGCGCCCCGCTTCGCCGGGACTGGATTTTTGGCACATGCAGGAACCTGCTATTCCAATAGGGCGCGAGCCTCCAAAGGAGTGACGGTTGGGAGAAGGGTGGAGGAGTCTGTTTCGCCCTTATCTGTTTTTTTTTGTTTGTTTGTTTGTTTGTTTTAATTTAGTGCTGTTTTTTCTTATTACCCAAATGCTAGCTCACATCTGGACAACTGTCCTCTGAGGAGGAAATAAACTCACATTATTAGTAACATGAACGTGAGAATTTGCAAAATGGCCTTGTAAAATTATTACTAGTCCATATTGCACGTTGCTTCAGCACAATTTGTCATCATAGATAGCACCTACTAGACGAGACAAGCTCCCCACATCCTCCTGTTCAGTACATTTAAAGATCAGAAGCTACAATGAAAAAAAAAATTCAAAATTCATCCTTTTGAAAGTAATTTGAATAATAAATGTAATACATTTATATTGATAGACGTAAAAGATGGTTATAATTCCAAAGTGACTAAAGTATGGTTTTGGTGTTGTGGGGGGGGGGGGATTTCCAATTCTATTTCTTTAAGTTAAAGTGATCAGTTACAGTTACCTCTAGTATCTTAAAAATACAGACTGGGGACTTCCTTAATTACTACATTTATTGACAAACTCATTTTCTTGCCTTGAATGTAAATTTTAAGCAATGCACTTCAAAAATGTATTTCAACAAGTTTAATTGGAAACTAAATGGAATATTAGCTGTTGAGGAATATAAATGGAACCACACAGGAATGGAATCTAGCACTTCTTGACAAGTTACTAATTACGTGACACATTAACAAAAGCTTTTCTCCTAGAGGAAAAAAAATCCAAAAAGAAAATATCTATAAAATGTATACTATCAAGATTTCTTTCTTGATGTTACCTGATAGTGTGCCCTTAAAAAATAAAGGAAAACCACGAGCTCCTGGCTTTGTTACCACGAAGGAAAATACGCCCCCCGCCCCCTGCCCCCCGCCCCGCAGCACAAGATTCAGATCGTTCTTTAAAGGAACACATATAGGAAGGAGCATATCTTAGCACATGGCCTGAATACACTGGTGTTCTGAATTGTAGTCAGTTGAACAGCATAAAGATTAATGATAAAATTAGAGTAAATAATTCAAGTAAAGAGTGTAAAGAAGGCTGTCTTGAAAAGTCTTATTTTTTATGTTTCCTTCCAGTCTCCTAATTATGTTTCCAAAATTCTGAGCCTTAACATAAAACATTTGTGTATTGTTTGATTAGTATGGTACTAGCTGGAATGATAGTCTATTAACAGAGAAAAGAAAGCAAAGAATACCATTAAGAGTTCCAGAGGTACTCAATAGGTCTTAAGTCCTCACTCCTCCACATTTTTCATTTGCAACCTAGGCAATATGTAACTTCACTCAGAAGTCCCTTGCAAATGCGCTAACTCATAATGTGTTTTGAAATGTACACTTAGTTCAGATATCATCAAGTACTTTCAGAAAACTGACACTTTACTAGGAATTGGAGGATAGTTGTTTTAAGTGCACCACAGACTTTTAAAAAAATGTGTTAAAAATAAATTTTGTAGTCATTGCTTTTACCTTCAGCATAATTACATAGTTATAATATGTTTTAAATAAAAATTTTGCCTTGTGGAAATAAGTTACATATATTTAGTAATTACTGATAACTTTCTATTTGTAAAGCATTGAACTAGATTTAAGCTAGGAAAAAAAATCATATAAGACTCAGTCATTATTTATTCACATTTGAATACCAGTTATACATGCCTTAAAGATATGGAAAAAAATTCTTACATATTTGAGTGACATGCCTCAAACATTGCATGTTAATTTTGATTTCAGGTTAGTATAAAAATTATTGGAGTTTTTGCCATTACTTTTAATGGCAGTCTTAGACTCATAAACAAAAATGCTGCCCTTTTTATGCCCTTAATATTTGAGTAACAGTGAAAGCCCCTGACTTCAAGAGATTTACGATTTAGTTGGAAATGCAAATAACATATAGCTAACCATAATAATAAGTTATAACAATAGCAACAATAATACACCTTTCCTGTATACTCAGCACTGTGTACATGTAAAAAGTATTCTCTCTTTTCATCCTTAAAAATATGGACGATGATATTTGACCATTGTGTTCCCATTTTGTAAGTGATGAAACTAAGGTACAGGGAGGTTAAGTAATTCACCTATAGTCACACAGTAGACACTGAGATTTAAATGTAGGCCATCTGTCACTAAAGTCTATGCATTTAACCACTATCCTATCATGGAAAAAAAAAAAATACAGAGCACTGATGGAAACATTAACTTTTAGTGGCCAGTACAGATTGAACTTAGAAAGGGTTACTCCCAGAAGCCTTCCCTCAGGAGAGAAAATTCTAAGCCAGATGTTGAAGTTATTGATAGTCGAAGAATATTTCAGAAGCTTCTCAATTATTCTTTCTCTACATAGGCTTTTAAAAAATAGCCAACAATTTACAAATAATCTGAGAGAGACAATCATTGGGACAACAGATCTGTGCAGTCTTCGATGCATAAACAAAAAGGTTGCCTTTATTGTTTACAAAGATTTTTATCACCATGTTTAGAAAATCTTTTTTCTTTTTCTTTAAGCCACAGAAAATCGGCCGGGCACGGTGGCTCAAGCCTGTAATCCCAGCACTTTGGGAGGCCGAGGCGGGTGGATCACGAGGTCAAGAGATCGAGACCATCCTGGTCAACATGGTGAAACCCTGTCTTTACTAAAAATACAAAAAATTAGCTGGGCATGGTGGCGCGTGCCTGTAATCCCAGCTACTCAGGAGGCTGAGGCAGGAGAATTGCCTGAACCCAGGAGGCGGAGGTTGCGGTGAGCCGAGATCGTGCCATTGCACTCCAGCCTGGGTAACGAGTGAAACTCCGTCTCAAAAAAAAAAAAAAAAAAAAGAATGGGAAAATCGTTGGAAAAAATCCAATTAAGGGTCACAGGCAGAAAAAGGAAAAGAACTTATCATAAACCTAAAATATGAAATCTCCCATCTTAGTAGACACTGAGAAAACATCAGATTTGACTGAATAAATACTATACCACAAATGCTAAACGTAATTCCAGTAGCAATATAAAGGAGGTGGAGAGCTGATGGGCAAGACAGCTGTTACAATTTATAGAAGAGAGACAATAAGACCCTGATTTATGAGATAAAGGATCATTTAGGACATCTCTCTAAATTGAACTTCTCAGATGCACTTTAAGAAAGGGAGAAGATCCTTTCCTTCCTCAGGAAGAAAATAGGAGAAAGAAATAGGATAAGTCTAAGGAATTCCCAGCTGATATCCTCCAATAAAGTAAGAGAAGGAGAAGGCTAAGATAGAGCAGAACTAGAAAAAGAATATACAGAGAAAAAATTAGAATTGTCTTGTGCCAAGGAGGGCCCAGCTGTTCCTATAAATTATACACTTGTCATGGATCCAATCGGTAGGCTTCCTGAAATCTATTTCATTAAGAATCACAGCAGGGGTATAGGACACAGAATATACCCAGCAGGATTAATCAGAAGTTGAGTGAGGAAAAAGGGAGAAGAGAGCAAGAGACAGGAGGCCAGTGGGGAGAGGGGAGAGGAAAAGAAAAAAAAGCAGACAGTGAAATGAAGAAGAGGGAGAGGGAAGAGGAAGAGGGAAGTACAGGAGGGGAAACAGTGCTTGAACAGTATTTGGGGGACAGAGGAAGAGAAAGCAAGATATTGCACAGGCATGGGAAGAGTGTTTTGGAAATCTCACTGAGCATAGCTTTTCTATTATTAAGGTTTAAATCTGGATGTGTTGGGAGGTGTCTGGAAGATGGTGAGATGACACAAGCTGCATAGTCATGTGGCCAGAGTGATGTTCCTATTGAATCACATTGAGCTAAGTTCTCCATGTGTGCCTTTTCACTTGCAAGTACATGTAAGATCCCAGGCCACCTAAACCTTCTTCCATCCTTAGAAAGTTTCTTGCTTCCAAAGTTAAGAGTAAGTATTCAACAGAACTGCTTTCTTGTATTTTCTTTTTAAATATTTACTCCTCTTATCTCATCTGCATGAAGCCCTAGTCCCTAGTCCTGGGCACTTTACAGTACTTTCAAAAAGCATTTTTTGTTAAATACAGAGTAAAAAACTTGAATCCGTCCTGGCTTGTAGAACTGTCTGTAATCATCCTTGTCTGATAAATATTTCCTTTGCTGTCTTTGTCTTTGACAAAGGCGTGTCTTAGAACATTTACTGATAACAGACCAGAAATCCTGTATTACATGTCAGCTCTTCTACAATTTCCTTATATATTAAGCTTTTTAAGAAAACAGAGAAATAAGTATTTATAAAGCTTGAGAGTAACAAGTATCTTTAGAGCCAGTTACCCAAATCTGAGGTCTTATAGCATAATATGAACCTATACAGGATTCCTGTGGTACCACCAAGGGTAAGAATATGACATTATTTGAGAGTTATTTGTCATTATTACATCTGTTATATATTCATTACTGACTTTTGGTACATCTGTATTTTGAATACATAAGCTTGATTCCAAGTAGGCAAAGGAAAAGCATGAGTAAGAATAAAGAAATAACCCTGTTTTTCTTATGTAAGTCACGTCTTCCGTGAGTTTACTCCTGGGATGTTGATCTCAATTATGTCCTGAGTGTTTCACACTTTTCAAGATTAAAGTTAACTGCAGTTAGTGTCACCT